AATGAATGAATGAATGAATGAATGAATGAATGAATGAATGAAACTATGTTGTTACTATTATTAGATTTATATCCTGTCTTTATTTTTGTACAATTCAAGGCAGCGTAGATAACGGTCCCGCCTCTGATTTTCCCCACAACCACCACCCTGTGTGGTGGGTTGGGCTGAGGGAGAAGGACTGGCCCAAAGACACCCGGCCAGTTTCTATGCCTAAAGGAGGACTAGAACTCACAGGCTCCCCATTTCTAATCCGGTTCCTTCATCACTACACTATCCATGGGTTCCATCCCCAAAGAAATAAAGAAATAAATAAAAAATAAAACAGAACAAGAGGCTATATGCAGACCTCCTTATTGGAATGCATCTTGTTCTTGCTGTTCACTAGGTCGCTTCATTAAAACTTAAACTTTCAAGCTTTAGCATGATGGTTCTGAAAACCTTATGTTTTGAAGAAAAAAAAAAAAAGGCCTGCTATTTACCCAGCCTTCCAAACACAACAGCGTAAGCCTTTAACATCCAGTCCAAATGTGACACAGCCCGAACATCATCCTCCTCCCCAAAATGATCAAGTGGTCAGAGAGTATCTGGCAGCCTTTAAGGATGGGTTGGATTGCAATTCCCATCGTCCCAATCCAGATGGCCCATATTGTCTAGGAAGGACCGAAGCTATAATCCCCCAAATCTGAAAAGCACTAGGTTGCAGAAGACCGCCGTGGTAAGACGATTACTTTAAAACTAGTTAGCATCTTTCAAGCGATGCAGGCCTGACATTATTTGCACAGCATGGATCCAGTATTGATTCCTGTTGATACTGTCTGATACCTGAAAATCAATCTCAGTTGCAAAGAGTGTTTGCAGACATACATGAATACACATACCTGAGAATTTCTCTGTTTATGCTATGAATAATACCCCAGGCACCACTGAAGAGTGTCTCGGCTTTTTATTCACAAAACATATCCCTACATTGTGAAAACATCGATGAGTGAGGATAGCCTTTCTTGTTTTATGGCCATTCAACAAGATATGTAAACGTAGTTGATCCAACCTGCCTCTCCCTTGTGACTGGCTGGTAAACAGCCGGCATTTTGTGTTAACAACTCAGGAAACATCCCATTGTGCTATATTTGCTTCTACACAAGAACAGCTGTTCATCTGCCTCCTGGTGGACAGTTTGAAAGTATCACCCATCTATTTATTTTCCTCTCTGTAAAACTGGAACGAGGGACCTAACTACAAGTTCCAGGACAGATGAATGTAAGTCATCCAGTCATGCAATACGTGAGCATTTTCAAAATGAACAGCAATTGTAGGAATCTAAAACCATGAGTGAAAAAGGAGGGAAGAAAAGGAAGAGATTTTTTTTTTCCCTGAAGTTGCCCACTCAAAATTTGTCTCCCAGAGCACACATAAGCAACCTTTTATTCTCATAAGAAAAAAGCAGCTAAGAGGAATGAAAGGATTGGCACACTTTCTGCAAAGGAAGAACCGTGTCACTGTTCCCTGCTCACGTTTTTCTGCGTTCACTTTTCACACTCATCCCATTACATTACATCTAATGTAAACCCCCCAAAGTAAATCTGATCAAGTTTAATTAAACTTACTTCTGTGTAAGAAGACTACAATTCAAATATCCTTTTGGCAGAGCAAAAGTGTCTCTATTATAGAGATTTCCCCAGTGATAAATCAGCTTCAATATTACAGGTACCAGTTGAGAAACCAGGTCTATGAACTCTCCAATAAAAATCTTCAGCCATTAAGAACATGCCAATTAGGTTAACTTAAAATAAATTTACACCTTTCATATGTCCTCAAGCAGGAAGTCAGAGAATTGATATTGCTTCATCACATTTCAGGACAACGTTTGAACATAGTCTAATAAAGAAGTCCAAATAAAACTTACATAATGTAATTCTACATCATTTTTAAGTGTCTCTAGGAAATATCTCTCCTGAATTAAAATACAGGGCTTTTCTGGAGAAATAAGAAAACTATGCTTTGTTGTGCCCTGTATTTATTAAAGGGAAAAGAGCAGAATGAGTCATCCACATTTTCTCCAACTTCATCTTCTCCAATATGGTGGATAACTTTCAGAACGTACACTTAGATGTCCAAGATGTGGTCTAACACATCTGGAGGACATGAGGGATGGGAAGACTGAAGTAAAACTGTTCCACTCTGTGAAAATGTTGCAATCTAGACGATATATTTGAGCCACTCATTTCTATTTTCATTCCTATAAAACGGTAATCTCATTTTTAAAAAAAACACAGTCATGAAAAAAAAACATGGCTGCTTATCACTTAAATATTTACAGCATCAGTAGTTTTATACTCTGGTTCTAAAAAGCCCTAAAATTATACCTACACAAAGCCACACCACTTAAGTATCAAATGTGTTTAAAGAACTCATTTAAAATCAGAATTAAAAAGGTAACACAAATAAATGTGTCTTCTTTGGAATTATCTTCAAAAGTATGGGGGGAAAAAAATAAAAGGCCAGTAGACGCCCATGTGGTGTTCAATGAAGTAAGCAATTTCTTTCTCTGTGCAGTATCAAGGGATCACATTTGAAGTGACCCTCTTTCCAAAATAGTACAGAAATATATAGCTCTGAAATTTAAAAGGAGTACCAAAAATGTATTTAAAAATGTCTGTAATACTAAGAATCTGAAGAATCTTAGCCTGTATGTGATGAAAATGAGCTAAGACACAGAGAGGTGACCTGGTGCGGTCAACTTGTTCTTCTGACAGCTGCATAGATCCAGCACAAATGCTGCACCATTTCATCTCTGGGTCCTCCTGAATAAAACTGATGCTGACACATGAAGTGTGTTCCTGAAGCCATTCAAGACACAGAGTCTCTCATATTCCAAAACAAGTGGAAAGAATTAAACCACCAAGCTTTCTCTGCTGACAGCATGATTCTGTAGAGGAAAGAGAAAAATCCAGGTTAATCATATCATAAAGATGATCTCCTCCAGTACCTTAAGAACCATTTAAGATTAACAACACAAGATTTTTTTTTAAAAAAATAACACACTGGCTATACACACACACACACATTTTGCAGACTCACTCCAAGAAGCAAAAATTGGCATCTTGAACCAGGACCTCATGGAGATATAAATACAGATACATCCCCATATGGGGGGGAAAAACCCTTTGTTGCAGCAGAGATAGCTATACAATTTAATTTGATCTTAAGGGTTGGGGCTGAATCCTAGGAAATCTGCTCTATTTATATTTTTTTATTATAAAAAAAATACCTTCACTGAATTAAGCTGTGGTTTGTCTGGTCCTGACGTATTCAACAAGGCACAACTGGGTGGGTTTACATTGCATTAAGTAAAAACCAAATGAATACATGACGACTAAGGATGATGCGCAAACCCATTCATACACACTTAACAATGATGTGAATTTGTTAAGCGAGTCACACAGTTGTTAAGTGAATCACGCAGTTCCCCACTGATTTTGCTTGCCGGAAGCCGGCTGGGAAGGTCACAAATGACAATCACGTGACCCCAGGACACTGCAACCATCATAAGTGCAAGCTGGTTGCCAAGCACCCGGATTGAGATCACGTGACCGTGGGGGTGCTGCGATGTCGTAAGTGCAAGGACTGGCCATAAGTTATTTTTCAGCATCATCATAACTCCGAATAGTCGCTAAACAAATGGTTGTTAAGTGAGGACTACCTGTACTTTGCTCAAATGGGCAATTGCCTTAAACGCGGCTTCCCCATTTATAAGGCACTACAATCATGCATTCTCCTCCCCATTTTTTGATCTCACCCTTCGCAGCTTGCGGTCATCCTTGCTACGGGAAGACACAGATTCAGTCTCTGTGTACGGAGGTGGTGGTGGTGGAGGAAAGCCCTCGCTATCATCATCCCGGTTTTTCCTGTTGCCAGATCTCCCGCTTGAGGCACTTCCATGATCCAGGTCTTCACGGCTACCTGCCCGCTGCTTCTTCCGCAGTGCTTCCTCCAGGAGTCGGTTATCATAATAGGTTCGCTCCACGTCCCGCAGGTCATCCCTACTTCGACTCCGGCGTCTATTGTAGCGCTCAGAGTCATTGCGGGAGTCAGGGGAATAATCCCGGCGATGCCATTCATTATCTGAGCCGTGTTGATCCCGACTTCTGGGCCGGGAAGGGTAGGGGTCCCGTTCAAAGTCATCTAGAGCATCCACCGAGCGGGAACGTGGGCGTCGAGCATAGCTCTGCAGTGGGGAATCCTCATAACGGTCGCGCCAGGTGTTGGGCAGCAAGCGCCGGTTCTCACTGCTCCGTACACTTTCCTCCTCCAGGTCACTGATGGGAGACATGGCCTGGCCACGCAGCCGCCCCAACCCCTGCCGCAGCTCGTAACGCCGATCGTCTTCATGAAGAGAGCTTAGTTCACTCATCACAGAGGCTGGAAAACAAAACAGAATTATCCATTCCCATCCCAACGCTGAAGGGCACTCTGCTGGGACAATTGAGTGGAGGATCAACTGGGTACACTCTTGTTCCTACACACAGAAGAACCCCACCAAAGTACCTTTCTCAAGCCTCCCATTGGGCTGCCCTGGGCGGGTGGGGTCAAAGTTGGCCAGCTCCTTCTCCATGTAGTAGAGCACCCGCATGGAGTCATCCTGCTGGTTGGCTTGGATGCGATAGCCACTGCGTACAGCTGGGGAAGAGAGATCAGGAGCAGGCTTTAGGACACAGGGCTGGTATTTTTTATTGTTAAGGAGCCATAAGCCTTTGGAGGATCGCCAAACAGGTTGGCAACCATGTGACTCACCCACCACTTTCCAACTGCCATTGAAATTGAAAGAGGAGGCAGGACCTTCTCTGTCTATTGTAATTCCCCTTCTGCTATGCACCAGGTTCTGCTGGTTGCAGCAGATACAGCTGGTGGCATGAAGCACACGGAGGGGGGCGGGGGGAATTAGTTATCTCTTGCTTCAATGACAGATTTAGAGTTAGAGGGGAAAGCTCAAGGTTGTAACACTACAGATGAAGAGTGTGTGCATGTCTCCTTGCATGCTAAGGGAAAAGATCTTCCTGCTGGACTGAAAATTTATCTCAGAGACCCAGCTTCTGGCCTCTGACTCTCTCGACTACTTTAGGAAGTTCAGACAGTTCGTCTCTTCAGCACAAGGACTCCAGCCGGCTGATGTCTAGCAAAAGCTTGCATGAACCTCTCTGTCTCAAGAAATGTCTCAGGTGCAGTTCTTCAAAAGGCAGCTATTTTTACAAGTGTTTGGATTTTTTTTTAAATCGGTTTGGCTTAATTTTATAAAGCACAGATGTACTGGACTTCTACCTTGGCCATACTGGCTGGAAATTCTGCAAGCAGAAAGCCCAACATATCTGTATGGCACCAACTGGAGCAAAGCCTTTTGTCTGCGCCTATGTAGGAAAGACATCTGGAACTTCAGGTGCAAAGCTAGTGCCACTCCATGAGCCAAGCACTACAAGAATGTTTCCTATTCCATGTAGCAGGAAGAAGAATTAGCATCACCCTCAGCTGCCAACAGCTGGATCAGCCAAGATGAACGTGACCAGTTATTATAATTCCTCTAGTGAACAAAATGTTGAATCATCAGTGTAAGCAGTTTCCCACAACCAAGCATGCCTGATCAAACAGAAGCACAATATCTAAGCAAACTTCTAGCTCGATATTCCGTTCCGTGTTTCTTACCAGCATTTGCAACACTATCAGTATCCCTCAGGAGGGGCACCTGGGAGCTGTTTCCACCAACTGCAATGCAATCAAAAGAGAGCAGAAAGTTTCCATAAAAGGGCTGTGACATGCAACCAGTAGTAGGCAGGACAAACTGCCCATGGCTGTATCCTGAATCTGTTCACTAGCAGTGGCCTGCAATACAACACTGTAGGCTATGCTTTCACTAAGCACATTGCAAGCCCTGACAAGTCATAAAATTAGAGGCTATTAGGTCTAACTTTCTGCTTAATGCAGGAGATCCAGGGGTAGAACACAACAAAAATCTGCCGCTTGAAGATGTCCAAGGTGAGACAGTTCTTCTCTTCCCCCAATGCTAATTACCAGCTGATTCCAATTGTCGAAACAGATCTAGCATTAAGGAGACCCAGAAGAAGCATCCAATTATATTGAGGACAATCCAAAATGTAACCCAGGAGACAGCTCAAAAGGATTAGCATAGAGCTAGCACAAGATCTTTTAGACTGTTAATTCCACTAGCTGGGAACTAGTTGAGGGGAACATAAATTCAGTTGAGAGAAGCCACTTACCTGAGCTGGCCCGATCATAATCCACTCCATAACCATTGTACATTGGAGACATTGGGCCCATAGGGATCATGGTGGCTGGGGGAGCTGGCTTCAACGGATTGCTGGAGGCATAAATACTGGGCGCGTAAACGCTGGGGACTCCAGATGTTGCAGCTTTCCCTGCTAGGTAGACTGGAAAGACAAGATTTCCAGATAAAGGTCTGGTGTTTGTTGTTTTAAGAAACATTGTATGTGGCAAGATGGTATGGGCCTGCAGGAACTTGGCTGGGATTACAACCCACCGTTACAGCCATTAACCTTGATCAGAGAATCCTGTACACAATTCAAGTTCTTTACAGTCTTCTAGGATGAATAATAGTGCTTCTTTTTCAATTTAATGACCCTGGGTTGGGGGTGGGTGGGGGATATACTGATAAGGGATGCAAGTGAAGATCACAGAGAATTGATCATCTGTACTTAAATGTTCTTGGGAATCTCTCTAAGTCTGATTGTAAATTAAAGCATCAGGAACAAAATAGCATAACTTTGAACACACCCTGAATACACCCCGTTTAGGAATCCAGATAGCCCATCTCAATTCTGTCTATCGCTCTAGTTCAGCGCAGGATGGCATCAGCATGCCACCTCTCTCCAGCCATGCCCTACTAAGCATTCATCCCCCACCCGATGCCCTCTAAATATGCTGGACCAACTTCCAAATGTCCAGTAGCTAGGCTGGCAGGGGATTACAGCACTCACAACCCAACACAGCTGGAAGCCTCCAGACTGTGGAAAACGGTGAGTATTTTGCCTGAACAAATACGAATAACTTGCAGGCCAGCTTACAAGTAGAAGTACCTCTTGTATTGTCGAAGGCTTTCATGGCCGGAATACGATGGCTGGTGTGGGTCTTCCGGGCTCTCCTGTCTGTGCTCCTGCTCTCTGAAGATGCCGGTCACAGATGCTGGTGAAACGTTAGGA